CTTGGCCGGTAACTCCACACGTGCCTTTTTCATTTTCGAGCATGACAAAAATCGATGCCTTACTGCGCGGCATGACAAAGTTGCACGTTTCGGATTTCGCCGGCCGCTGCTTCGCGTCGACTTTGTCGATATCCATCGGGTCGGTGGTCGTGGGGGGTGCCGATCGCTTCGTGCCAAAATTACTATTCGGCTACCCATGTAGCTGCTGTAATTCGCCGCGATATCTTGTCGGCGAACTTCGTATTCCAGCCCGATAGTGAAGGCTTGATTTATTTCTCCCTCCGTTAAGTCGTCGATGCAATGAAAAAATGACTCCATCATTAGGCGTGGAATACGATAGGTGGAATCATTGCGCTCGGGACGGCAACGCTAGAAGCTGCTTTACTCGCCAAGCCTGTAGTCGTGGTGTATAAAGTATTGTTTTTAACTGCGCCAGTGCTCAAACATCTGTTAACCATTAAGCATATGTCTTTGCCTAATATTATTGCTGAGCGTAGAATTTGTGCCATAATTGTTACAGCAAGAAGCCAACCCCCTTGACATTAGTCAGTCTATTTTACATGCTGCGCTACACTCCCAAATTACCAGTGTCGGTGAATTTTCTGCCGCGCCATGTAGGATAAGCTATTGGTTCTAATCGTTGAATCAAGGCTACCCGAAATCGCGCCCACGACCCTTTGCCTCAGATTTCAGTGCTTCCTTGGATTTGACCAGTGCCGGGCCTCGTAACAGTGTCGCTGCGAGCCGAATCCATATTGCATCATGTATTGGGGTCGTACATGCAACGGGCTCGAAATAGATTTCGAGTGTAGCGATGTATCTCCTGACGTTGGTTCCTTTCGTGCTTGGATCGAACGCCTCCGGTAGCCTCGAACGAGCTGCTTTGAGATTCACTGTAGCTGGTGCCGTTGCTGCAGGTTGAAATGTTAATGTCGCTACCGCTGCTGTTGCTGTCGCTGCGGCTGATTGGTTCGCAAGCAACGCCTCTATTTGTTGAAGCGTCGTGCGAGTTTGGTCATGGTCGGCACGGAGCGTGGCGAGTTCATGCAGAAAGTTATCGCCTTGCCCCTCCATGCCCGACATGCTTGTTTAGAAACCGGTTCAAAGGTACTTCACGCGGAACTGGTTTACGCACCCGAATCGGCGCTTTTTGTTGTTGCCGCCGCGGTTTTTTTCTTGCTGGGTTTTAGCGGCTGGCCACCTTTGCGTGTAAACTTGCTCCGATTACCAAGAGTAAGGATCGAAGGATCGAGTCCAGGTTTTTACTAATGAATCCTTAGTACAACAAAGTGGCTATTTATAGGCATGACACAAGGTAAGTAACACAGGTGATACTAGAAGGTACCGGGCTTCGGGAACCGTCGGGAACAGATCCTTCCCGAACTCGGTAGAAGTTATTCGGTGAAATCACGCGGAGCATATAATCACGGGGAAATAACCAAAATGCCACAGGATTCAGTGCACGAAACCTAATTCGGTGCTATAACTATAATAGATATAGTTTAGAAACGATTCTAAGAAAACGAGCAGAAGCAAGCATAAGAAAATATTAATATTCAAGATTCTGGTGTGGCTGGCACTACAGGGGTGCTCGTTGGTGTTGCTGGCGCGTTGACAGGTTGGCTCGGCTGGCTGGCTGGCGCACGAGCACGCCTGGCACTGCTGGCGGGCGTGACAAAACTTAGTCATATACTGTTTAGGCTGTAGTGGGGCAGCTTATATAGGGTATAATCCAAAGGGTTTGTTCTTGTACTTCTCACTGCTGTTAGTAAACTCATTCCGCTGTCCTCAATTCTTAACATAGTATTAGTCGCTAGGTTAGGTCTGTACCTACCGTTGTTACCTTTGCCTCGTGCGCCGTGCCTGCCCGCGCGCGTTGCTTTGCCCGTACGCTGCCCCGTGCGCTGCGCCTACCTGCGTGCACTGCCCTTGTCGTACGCTTCCCTGTGCGCTACGCCTGCCCGCGCGCGCTGCCCTGCTAGTGTGCTGCCCTATGCTCCACGCCTGCCCGCGCGCGCTGTCCTGCAGTTGCTGCCTCGCGCGCAGCTGCCCGTGCACCGCGCCTGCCTGCAAGCGGTGACCTACAGCCGCTGCAACGCGCGTCGCGCTGCTCTGTCCCGCGCGTTGCGCTGCCCTGCCGCCATCACTGCCGCTACAATTGCCGCTGCACCTGCCTCTGCTGTCGCTACAGTCACCCGCTGCTGCTACAGCTGCCACTGCCACCCCTTGCGCCACTTATGTTGGTGCCGCTGCCCGTCATGCCCACTATCCTGGTCTTAGCGGTTGACACAGACGGACGCCCCTTAAAGTTAGGGTTGTGGCTTACGTGCCTCCGCCTGTATCTCTGGCGCTTCATTATAGCTAGCGTCTCCCTGCTCGAGCACACGTCCAGGTTCCTTCAGGCCCCCACGACTCCCACGGGGCTTGCTGCTGACGCTGGCGAGGACGTGCAGTTGCGGTGTCGTGCGGATAGCCTTGCCAACACGCTGTGGACGGAGCGAGACGCTGTCACACAGCTTGCCGTCCGAGCTCACCTGCCGATCAACCAGAGGACCCACTTTCGTCAAGTGACGATGGCTCAGACTTTGTTCGACGATGTGGTTAGACACTACTCCTCCCTCTCTCCTGCTACCCACCCACTACGGCATCACCGTCCGTTGTTAGGGGAGGTGCAGCAGCTGGTCGAGGAGGCGAGTGTCGGCACCTGTGCGTCCGCTCCTACAAGTGGTGCCGCTGGTGGAGGCGGAGGTTCTGGGGGTGGACAACAGCGGCAGCAACCTCAGCCGGAGACCATCTTGCCGCGGCAGCTTCGGAAGTGGGTTTCCCAGCGACGCAACCCTGGTGGCTTAGGGGCTTCTAGTGTAGGTGCATGTGTGTTTGTTAATACAGATGCAGCCCCTGTGGAGCCTTTGCACACCTTCACGCTTGACTCAGGCGCGTCTCGCTGCTTCTTCCGCGACTGCAGCACAGTCACACCGCTCACTACTCCTGTCCCGTTCACTCTGGCTAACCCCTCTGGGGACCCAGTCGTAGCACCTGCCTCCACCGTTCTCCCATGTCTGGCAGCCCCTTCCGGCTCGCTTGCTGGTCTCCACCTCCCCTCGTTCACTACAAGCTTGGTGAGTAACGCTGTCCTCCAGGACCAGTTGGTCACCACCACTATTTCTGGGGGTGAGCTTGTGGCGATTTGTACGAACTCACGAATTGGCGCCCACATTGCCACGTTCACTCGGAGACCCGGTCGCTTGGGTGCTCGGTCACCGTGCCTTCCCTACGTCGAGGGGCGACAGCGCGCCACACCTCACTCCTCCTCGTTTCCTCCGACCACTACTTTTCTGCAGACTCTCCACATGGACGTGTGGGGACCCGCCCGCGTCAGTGGACTGGACTGAGAGCGCTATTTTTTGTTGGCTGTTGACGACTACACGTGCTACACCACGGTCTTCCCCTTGAAGAGCAAGGCGGATATCCATAGTGTCTTGATCCTTTGGATACGCGCTGTCCGTCGCCAGCTGCGCGCCCGGTTTCAGCAGGACCTCCAGGTCCTGCAACTGCACTCTGACCGAGGTGGTATATTTTCCTCCCGCCTCCTTAAGGATTTCTGTCGTGAGGAGGGCATCGTCTAATCATTCACTCTTTCAGCCTCTATACAGCAGAATGGGATTGCTGATCGCCGCATTGGCTTGGCCATGGAGGTTGCTCACACCTCCATTATCCATGCGGCTGCTTCCCATTTTTTGTGGTCGTTTGCGGTCCGATACGCCATGCATCAGCTCAACCTCTGGCCCCGTGTCTCCGTTCCAGAGACCTCGCCTACACTGCGTTGGACGAGGGAGGTTGGCAATGCGTCGGCGTTTTGGGTCTGGGGTTCGCATGCCCTTGTCCGCGATACCACCACGGACAAGCTCTCGTGTCGCACCGTTTGCTATGTCTTCCATGGCCTTCCCATCAACGCAACTGGCTGGCAGTTTTACCACCCGCCATGCGTCGCGTCCTGTCCTCTCAGGACGTCACCTTTGACGAATCGGTATGCTAATACCGTCTCTTCTCCCACAGCACTTCCCCGGTCACCCCCCCTCGCCTCTCTTCTTGGTTCCAGGTCCCCTCCCGGTAGACCCCCTCCCCCCACAGTGTCCTGCTCCCTCAAGTGTGTCTCAAGTAGACCCATCCCCCTTGGTAGAGCCTTTGGAGGTCTCCTCTAGCACCTCTGGCCCAGCTAAGGGGGGGGTGACCCCGCTGCTGACGATACAGCGGCCACTCGCCGCTCACCGCGCTTGGATACCCTTCTTGGTTTTCCGCCTCGGCCGTCTTCGCCGCCTCAGCAGCCCGTTGCTGTGGACTCCGGTGCTCTTGGGGGTGCTGACTCTGGAGGTGCTGGTTCTAGGGGTGCTGAGTCTGGGGGTGCTGGTTCTAAGGCTACTGAGTGTCCTGGTGGTGGTGGAGTTGTGGGTGCTCCTGCTGGAGGTTCTAGGGGTGGACAGCAGTAGCAGTCTCGTTGGCAGGAGACTTTCTTGCCGCAGCAGCTTTGCGAGTGGGTTACGTGTGTTAAAGTTATATTTAATATATCATGCTTGCTGTAGTTACTGTAGTTATTTTACTTTTTTTTCTTTGCTATTGGTGGTGCACCTTTGGTTTGGACCATAACTTGTGATGTTTTCTATTATTGAAACACCTTTTCTCCAACTCTCTTTGGCTCGACCACCTCGACACCCGCGCTTGGCCTAGGCTACTAGGCCTAGGCCCTAATCCTGCCTGCTAAGTTAAGATACTATTTGTGACATGGTATTGAGCTAGGTCGTTTTTGACCAATTTTTCTTCTCAATGGGCCCACTCTTAGCTACCGCCGTTACTCGCGCTGCCCGTCGCGCGCTTGTCAATGCGACCGTCGCGAGAGTCGCAATGGTCGAGACGGCCGCATCGGCCACAATGGCCAGCATCAACGCTCGCGGTCCCGAGGTGCCCCGTCCCCATTCGTACCTACCCCATCGCCAGTCGCGCTCCTATGCATCACCCGCCGAAGGACCCACCAGCCTGCGAGCCGACGGATCCGCCGTCGTACCAGCCGCCATCCGCCAACAACCAGCACCAGCAGCGACATCTGCGCCGACCAGCACCAACCGCGACAGTGACGCAAACCAGCGCCAACCGCGACAGATGCGCCAGCAGCACCTGCAGTCCTTGCCACCGTCCCTGTCGCATCACGTCGCCTCCCCTTTTCCCATCGTGGCCCCTTCTCGTCACCCGCTGTTGCGGCTGTTGTCGTGTGCAGCGACAGTCGCTGTGGGGGAGGAGCGGGACGGGGGAAGGGTGTGGCGGGAACGCCAGCAGTGACAACGCCAGCGACACCCGCGACCGCCAGTAACACCACCAGCAGCACTCCGCCGCACCTCCTCTTCCCCGCCGCCCCACCTGCTATCTGCCGCCCCAACCTCCCCCGTCGCCTTCCCCTCTGCGACTGCGATTGTGGGGGGGGAGGTGGTGTGGAAATGGTGGCCACCGTGAGCCAATGCAGCACCACCCTCTGCCCTGTCTCTCCCCTCCCGCGGCTGCTGCTGTGGGGGGGGGGAGTGGGGGGGACCAGGGAGGTGGGGAGACTAGCTGCCCGTGTGCAGGACATTGCAGGGACTACTGTGGGTGGGGCAGGGGTGTGGAGGAAAGAAGGGGGGAGGGGGTGCGGTTCCAGGGGGCGGCTAAATAGGGGGTGAGGTTAAGGGGGGTGGTTGAATGGGTGTAAGGATCTGGGGGTTAGTAAGAGGGGTTTTGACGTGCTTGGCTGCCCCCCACCTCCTCTACTTATCACTCTCTCACCTCCCCCTTTGTAAAAGGGGGTTAGTAAGAGGGTTTCGCCATGGGTGGCTCCCCCTTACCTCCTCTCCTCATGCCTCTCTCTCACCTCCTCCTTCGTTCTTATCTCCTCTCCTCACCTCTTTCTCTCTCGCCTCCTCCTCGTCACTTATCTCTCTGCCGTCTTCCACGCGCTAGGTTTACCCCTTCAAGAGGTGTTGACTGCACTAGTCCCCACTGCAAGTAGGCTAAAGGGGTGTATTGAAGTTATAATTAATATATCCTGCTTGCTGTAGTTACTGTAGTTATTGTTCTTTGCTATTGGTGGTGCACCTTTGGTTTGGACTATAACTTGTGATGTTTTCTATTATTGAAACACCTTTTCTCCAACTCTCTTTGGCTCGACCACCTCGGCACCCGCGCTTGGCCTAGGTTACTAAGCCTAGGCCCTAAACCCGCCTGCTAAGCTAATATTCTATTTGTGACAATTCGGTGTGGCCGCTCTGGTGCTGGTGCTGGAGGTGCTGGTGCTTGAGGTACTGGAGCTGCTGGTGCTTGGGGTACTAGAGCTGCTGGTGCTGGAGGTGCTGGAGCTGGTGGTGCTGGGGGTACTGGAGGTGCTAGTGCTGAAGGTACTGGTACTAGAGGTGCTGGAGCTGGCGGTGCTAGAGGTACTGGCTATGCTTGTACTTGAGGTGCTGGTGCTGGAGGTACTGGAGCTGCTGGTGCTGGAGGGGCTGGTGCTGGAGGTGCTGATGCTGAAGGCCATGGAGCTAGAGGTGCCGGAGGTTCTGGTACTGTGGGTACTGCACAACGGCGACCGTTTTTCTTGCCTCATCCGCAGTCGTCGCTGCCACCACCTGACTCGGCACTTTGTCAGGTTCTTAGTCTTCCATCTTCCACTGGTCTTACTCCTCCTCTACTGTGTCCACCGTCCGACCCGTCTCAGACACGGTTATCGCCTGACTCCCCACTACCTGCTCCTTCTCCTTACACTGAGACGTCTGACTCCCTGACTGAGCGTCGAGAGCCTGCGTCCCGTCCTACCATAGGAGCAACGAATTGGTTTTTTCTATAGCTGACACTGAGGCATTGGCCCTTGTGAAGACGGAGCTGCAGAATAGACACACCTGCGCTGACCTGGGTGAGCTGTGCAGCTATCTTGGATTGCAGGCCACTCGAGACATAGCAGCGTGCACCATCACTTTGATTCAGTCACACATGGTGGAGTTGGTCCTTTAGCGCTTCTGCTTTCAGTTCTTCTCGCCACAGTCCACTCCTCTGTCAAACATTATATGTTTACATTGTGTAGGCTATAGTAGGTTCAGCCTTAGGGGGTACAACAAACTTAGGGTTTCCTACTTGTACCCAACTTTCTGCTAGTTCATTCATCCTCGTTCACTTCTAGTTGCTAACATGGTATCCGACGCCTAGTTCAGGACCTAGGACCGACGTTGGTTTGGGCCCACCGTTCCGCCGCGCCGTCGAGCGCCCCTACTAGCGCCGTCGAGCGCCCCTTCTAGCGCCGTCGAGCGCCCCTACTAGCGCCGTCGAGCGCCCCTACTAGCGCCGTCGAGCGCCCCTACTAGCGCCGTCGAGCGCCCCTTCTAGCGCCGTCGAGCGCCCCTACTAGCGCTGTCGAGCGCCCCTTCTAGCGCCGTCGAGCGCCCCTTCTAGCGCCGTCGAGCGCCCCTACTAGCGCCGTCGTTCAAAAAAAAAAACAAAAAAAACAAAACAAAACAAAAAAAAAAAAAAAACAAAAAAAATCCTTGCGGTCTGCCCTAGCCCGTCGCGTCGCCCTTGCGGGCTGCCCTAGCCCGTCGCGTCGCCCCTGCGGGCTGCCTTAGCCCGTCGCGTCGCCCTTGCGGGCTGCCCCTGCCCGTCGCGTCGCCCTTGCGGGCTCCCTTAACCCGTTGCGTCGCCCCTGCGGGCTGCCTTAGCCCGTCGCGTCGCCCTTGCGGGCTGCCCCAGCCCGTCGCGTCGCCCCTGCGGGCTGCCTTAGCCCGTCGCGTCGCCCTTGCGGGCTGCCCTAGCCCGTCGCGTCGCCCTTACGGGCTGCCCTAGCCCGTCGCGTCGCCCTTGCGGGCTGCCTTAGCCCGTTGCGTCGCCCCTGCGGGCTGCCTTAGCCCGGCGCGTCGCCCTTACGGGCTGCCCTAGCCCGTCACGTCGCCCTTGCGGGCTGCCCCAGCCCGTCGCGTCGCCCCAGCCGAGCCGCCACTGCAGCAGCCGCCCGTGGCCCCTGGAGCAGCCGCACCTACAGCCGCCCCTGGACCCTGGAGCAGCCGCCCCTGGCCACCTGGAGCAGTCGCCACTGCAGGAGCCGCCCCTGGCCCCTGGAGCAGCCGCCGTCGTGGCCCGACCCCGCCCTGCAGCAGTTGCCGCGGAGCTCCCTGCCGCGGCCCGGCCCCGCCCTACAGCTGTAGCGGCCCCGCTGTCGCCGCCGTCTTGCGCCTGCCCTTCCCACCACTGGTGAGCACTGCCCTGCCCGCACTGCTACCGCTGCTACTGCTGTTACTGCCGCTACTGCTGCTACTGCTGCTCCTGGCGTGGCCAGATGCAGCTTCACGGCCGTCCGCGTGTGTCCCTCACGCCCCAGCAGCTTCGTGAGTGGTACGCCAGTTGGGGTTGTTGGGGTGGCCGTAGTGGGAGTCGTCCTGGAGTGGGTAGTTCGGGAACTTCTTGTAGCGGCCCGGTGCAGCAGCAGCATCGTCCGTGCGAGCCTCTTTCGCCCCAGCAGCTTCGTGAGTGGTACGCTCAGAGTAGAGGGTCGCTGAGTACTGCTCGCTGCCCGTACGTTATTAGCACGGGTACCTGGACTGGTCAGCCTTGCGGGACGCGTGGTCACACAGAGTCCCACTGCTTCGCCCGTCTGACTGACGCTTGGCGTACAGAGTTTGGCGACGACGCTGAGCTCCCCGACTGGGTGGAGCTGCTTGGACAGAGGGTAGATATCTTTGCTCTTCCCTATGATGCTATTCTCACTGCAATGTATGCATTGTCTACTAGTACCGAGGGAACCTGTCACCTGTGTGTGCCGCCTGACCCCGGTATCCAGTCTGCTGCTCTAGGTACTGGTGAGGCTGCCGCACTAGGTGCTCGTGTGCCGGTTGCCTCAGGTGCTGGTGAGGCTGCCGCTCTAGGTGCTAGTGTGTCTGTTGCCCCAGGTGCTGGTGAGGCTGCTGCTCTAGGTACTCGTGAGTCTGCGCCCTCTGGTACTGCGCCTACTGAGGCACTGCACACCTTCACACTGGACTCAGGTGCCTCCCGCTGTTTCTTCCGTGACCGCACTGCCCTTGAGCAGCTTGCTCGGCCGGTTGCAGTCTCCCTCGCTGACCCCTCTGGGGGTCCGGTCATTGCGACCTCCTCCACTGTCCTCCCTTGTCCTGCGGTCCCGTCGGGCACACTTTCAGGTCTCTACCTCCCCTCGTTCTCTACGAACTTGGGGGCGGGTCGTGCGCTCCAGGACGGGGGTGTCCACCAGTTCACCCCTGCCTACGAGCGCGTGACACACTGCACGTGTGCTCGGACGGGTCGCCACCTGGCTACCTTCACTCGGCAGCCGGGGTCGGACCTGTACACACTGACCACTGAGTCCCCTCAGGTAGCTGCGTCTGCGTCTGCGTCAGGTCAGCTGTCTGCCCCCTGCTCGTGTCGCTCCTTGGCGCACGAGACCGTCCTCTGGCACCACCGCCTTGGTCACCCGTCAGTGCAGCGCCTTCGTGGCATGCACTCCCGGTACCTTGTCTCTGGTCTTCCCAGGGTTCTCCCTCCCCTCCCACCCTCGCCTGCTCCTCCCTGTCTTCCCTGTGTCGAGGGGCGGCAGCGCGCCGCTCCTCACTCCTCCTCGTTTCCCACGACGACTGCTCCCCTGCAGACGCTCCACATGGACGTGTGGGGCCCAGCCCGCATCCGTGGACAGGGTCACGAGAGGTACTTCTTGATAGTTGTTGACGACTACTCGCGCTACACCACGGTCTTCCCCTTGCGCACCAAGGGTGAAGTCCCTGATGTTTTGATCCCTTGGATCCGCGCTGCCCGTCTCCAGCTCCACGAGAGGTTCCACTCGGACTTTCCTGTCCTGCGTCTGCACTCTGACAGAGGTGGGGAGTTTTCCTCCGACCTCTTGAGGGCCTTCTGTCAGGGGGAGGGCATTGAGCAGTCGTTCACGCTTCTGGCCTCTCCACAGCAGAATGGGGTTGCTGAGCGCCGCATTGGCTTGGTCATGGAGGTCGCTCGTACCTCCTTGATCCATGCGGCTGCCCCCTACTTTCTGTGGCCGTTTGCGGTCCGGTACGCTGCGCATCAGCTCAACCTCTGGCCCCGTGTCTCCTTGCCGGAGACCTCGCCCACACTGCTGTGGACGGGGAAGGTTGGCGATGCGTCGCGTTTCCGGGTCTGGGGATCTCGAGCTTTTGTCCGCGATACGTCCGCGGACAAGCTCTCCTCCCGCGCTGTTCCTTGTGTCTTCCTTGGCTTTGTCCCGGACGCGTCTGGTTGGCAGTTTTACCACGCCACCTCGCGCCGTGTCCTGCCCTCTCAGGACGTCACTTTTGACGAGTCGGTGCCCTACTACCGCCTTTTCCCCTACCGCACTGCCCCGCTCCCCCCCCCGCCTCTCTTCCTCGCGTCAGGTGCTGCTGTGGTAGACCCCCTCCCCCCTCAGGGTGCCGCTCCCTCAGGTGTGTCCCAGGTAGACCCGGTTGAGCCTGTCGAGGTAGCTGTCGACTCTCGTCCTGCTCGGGGTGCTGAGCCTGAGCGTGCGGAGCCTGGGGGTGCGGAGCCTGGGGTTGCTGAGTCTGGGGGTGCGGAGCCTGCGGGTGCTGAGTCTGGGGG